CCAGTTGTCTTGTTTCTCAAGGTCGTCAAGTCCAATCCAGATCGCAGTTCCTGTTTTTCCAATGAAGGTGTCGAGAAGCTCGCTTAAAATGATATTATGTTTAATTTGGCTCAACAATGTCAAATAATTTAGAAAAATACAAAAGTTGAACGTAAATCTTTCTAATCAATGGGATTTCCAACAATCACTTAAAAGTTTTAACTATTCATAGTTTTGTTTTCATTATTAAATTGACTTAGATAGAAAGTTAAAATAAAATATAATGCATTTAATTTCCATCTAACAGTTGTTGTTGTAAAAATCGCTTTAGCGCAACATTTAGATTAATCGATTTGAATTTTTGGAGACGTGGATAGAAGCATACTACTCTTTATTTCAAATTTTGTTGTCCCCAATCAGGCCAGATGTCTCGCCGGAAATTCACTTGCTTTACAACTTCTACACCCTATACAAGGGAAACGTTACCGGCTTTCGCACGGGATATGTGCGAACATCAAAGTGTTTTGCAGCAGTATTTTTGTTTTAATATTTATATGAGTCAAATGACAATACTATTATAATTGTATAATTACCTGCGAATAGCTGGGTTGCGTATACCCTTTGCTGCTAATCGATTACCCATGAGTTCGCAGTTTTTTCTGGCTGTTTGATAGTCTGACCGTACTTTGAATAGTTTGTACCAGAATGGGTAACTGGGAACACGATACCAACCATCTGCTAAGAGTTGTAATTCTCGAGCTTAAAATAAATAAGAACAAATATAAAACCATATAAAAAAAGCTTTATAATTGCTTAATATATGGATTTCTCAAAAAAGCCAGGGCTTCATATTAAAGTTTAGATCAAGAGAGCGGTTTTGCAAATCCTCAGTCTCAGCCATATTCAACACTTGCGACACAATCAATTAACGTAAGGTTTTTAATTAAAATAATGTTATAAAATATAATAAGAGTAGGAATTTGAGGTAATAACTATTTTTGATGATTTGAACTTTGTGTGCCAACTCATCATATCGTGAGCAATTACATTGTGTTCCGCTTTCTCCTTTAGCTCCTTGACGTCCCGTGGTGACCAGTGGTGCCAATTTGTCCTGGTGATCCGATATGACCTTTTGAACCTTCTGGGCTGTTTGAGATTGAGAATCATTTGGAACTAAAGAATAATTATTTTAGTTTACAAAATTTTTACACGTGAGGGTTGCATTTAGCAGAGTTGTATTTGTATTTCTAATTATTTAAAAATAATCCAATATTTTACCATTTATTGCTGTTTCGCGAACTTTTTCTATGGTTGAAGATACCATGTCCCAGGTGTCTAAAACTGAAAATATATACTCTCTCAAAACTCAATAATCTGAAAATCTGTCTTATAATAAAATGGGGGAATCCCATAGTATGTGTACCAGGTTAGAGTTAGGCCATAATCGTATTCCGATTTTCCATATTTTAGTTCTAATACGAGTTCGGGGACTGTCTGTGTTACCCAAGTGGATATACCCCCTACCCATAGGCCTCCGTTCATTTACACAACTTGATGTAAAGTAGGCGAACAAAATTAGATACCTCCATATTGGTACACATACTTCTCGAACGCCAACAATTGTAAAAACAAAATATCGCATTAAATATAAAACCAATACTTTAGACTCAGGTTTCCCGATTACGAATTGGTGCAATCTTGTGATTAAATCAAAAATTCTTTTTTTCAATTCAATGATTGGGATTAAAACAAACACAATCGACTTTTCAATAAGCATTAAATCTATGCTGATAATATATAATTTCGTCTGTAATTTGATAAATATAGAAAGGTAGAACAAAATAATAGAAATAATAAAAGAATCTACGACCAGATATATTTTCTCAAAATTACATGACGTTGGCGAGCAGCTCTTTACTTTGTCTTTCTCAATTTCTTTTAGTTTCTGTTCCAGGGCTTTGATTCTGATATCGTGTTGATCAGTTTTTCCTGAAGTTACATTTTTAATTTCACTAGATAGGCTCACGTTGTTATCAGAATTTCCCGAGCCAGGTGCGATCTTTGGACTCGTTGTGACAAAGCTAATATTGCTTCGATGTTCTTGATCGCAACATTCCACTACGCATAGGAACGTAAGAATAAAGAATGCTAACAAACCCATTTTGTAGTGAAAACCAGCACAGGAGTATCGATTTACGATAATGGAGATATGACTTAGGTACCAACGCTTCATATATAGTGCTTCATTTTTTTCTTGGCAACCATTGCTTTTTTTGTCAATTGCCGGGCGCGCAATAACCTCGCGGTTAAAGTCTTAAGACGCAAATGGCATCGCAGATTCCACAAATCCCATACGCCCTGCCCCACTCAGGGGGTAATAAATTGAGTGAGCAGTGCTGAAACCAAAAGGGTCAGGGCATTCTAAATAAATAGTAGCTACTCAAATATCATTAGAAGTCAGTGGTGTTTGTACATGGCTTTGTTTTTGGTGAAAGGCTCGAGTAAGCGTCGTACTTAAAGAAAATCACATTTCTTGTTTCTTTATTTTAACAGAGAATGGCCCAGATTAGTGAGAGTGTCCAATGTTGTAATAATTTTGCAACGTTAGTTAATTGTGAAATCAACCATATTCTTTTGCTTCATTTTCAGCAGCCATTATTCAATCCTGTCTTTGCATTTATAAAATTTTACTCGCTGCCACATACCCATTCAAGTTTCCCCCCTTATAATAAGCCCATACTCATTTTGTATCCGTGTTCGATACAAAAAATATTTGGACTGTAAAAGAATAGTTCTTATACCGCGCCACCTATACATTTGATTTGATTTTCTCTAATTTGATAGGTTGATTTGGGTCAAGAGTCGGTGTCCTGTTTCAAACAACATTATGCGTCGCATTAAAATAAATCCAACTTTCTTGTTTCTTATTTCCGCAAAATGATCGGGAATCGTTAGAGTACTTTTTTATTTATTTCAACGGCATTACACCATGACACACCGACCCATGGCATATGTAATCGTATGAGCCCAGAGCACATTACGTAAACAATATATTTTTAATTGTTTTCATTTATATTTTTAAGCGTGTTATTCAAATGTAAATATAACAATCAATTCGTAATCAAGATGTAACCATAATTGAGGGAGTTTTTAAAAACATTTGGGTCAACTTTTTGTTGAATTCTGCTTAGAATAAGCAGATACTTAATTGACATCCATGTTTGATACGTGAAATAATTGAAGTAAATGACAAATAGTTATTGACCCCGCTATCCTTATGTTTGAATTGAATCATATAATTCAATCGGGGTTAGGAATCGGTGACATCCTCAACGTTGCATTTGTCACATATTCGCATATAAAGTCGAGGAGGTAACGCAAAGTATCAAATCTCAATATCATAATGAAAAAAAGAATCGACATGAATACCAGTGTTTTAAATCACATAGTCAACCATAGATCAGTCGATTGTATTCGATGGTGAAACGAGTGCCAAAAGTATTTTGTACTATTAACATTAATTGTAAAAGGTTTTGCATAGTCGTTTTAGACAATCGTTTATCTCATCATCCTATAGTTTTGTCGGAACATGAATGTAATGAAACAGTGAATATTAAAGTGGATCTGGAGGTGGGAGGGTTAATGAGGTACTTTCGTACTGATTGTAAAAGATTGAATATGCCAAAGCCTTTGAAATTAATGTTAATAGTACAAAATAATCTTGATACAGGTTTCAACATCAAATACGATCGATTGACCTGTGGTTGACCATGTGGTTTAAAACACTGATATTCATGTCGATTCTTTTCATTATAATATTGGAGCTTTATACTTTGTGTCACCTGGTCAACTGCAACATTTAGGATGTCCCCAATTCATAACCCCGGTTGAATTATTTGACTCAATTGAAACGTAAGTTTGGCGGGTCCAAACTTAAATTTTTGTCCCTTACCTCATTTATTTCTCGTATCAAACAGAAATGTTAAGTAAGTATATACTTATTCCAAGTGGAATTCTACCCGAACATTACTAAATTTCTCAACAACGGTTAGGTTTACTTCTTGATTATGCATCGATTGTTTTTATATAGACCCCCTTAAATATAAAGAAAAATATTAAAAAAATATATTGTTGGTGTAATGGGCTCTTGCCTATCACATATCTTGTGTGTAGGTGTAATAACGTTAAAAAAGTAATTCCACCGATTTTCAATCTATCTGGGGAAAATAAAGAAACGAGGAAGCTGGAATTTTTTAATGCGACGCTCAAAGTTGTTTTAAGCATGTCACAGACTCTTAAACCTCATAAAACAATCAGAGGAAATCACCCTAATTAGAGGAAATAAAATCGAATGTATAACGACGTGGTATGAAAATATTTTTTTATTAGTCCAAATATTTTCTGTATCAAACAGGAATATAAAATAAGTATCGAATTATTATAGGGGAAATGTGAAACTGGAATAGGTATGCAGCATCGAGTAAAATTTTATAAATGCAAAAACAGGCTAAAATAACGGCTACTAAAAATACCGCAAAAGAATATAGTTACAAATGTATGATTTCACAATTAACTAACGTTGCAGAAATATACAAATTTTAAACACTCTCACGATTCTGGGTCATTCTCTATTAAAATTAAAAAAAATAAGAAATGTGAATTTTCTTCAAGTACGACGCTTACTCGCGCCTTTCACTCAAAACAAGGCCATGTACAAGCACCCACAAACTTCTGATGATATTTGAGTAGCTACTATTTATTTGGAATGACCTGAACCTTTTGGTTTCAGCACTGCCTACCCAATTTATTACCCCCTGAGTAGGGCAGGGCGCATGGGATTTGTGTAATCTGCGGTGCCATTTGCATCTTAAGACTTTAATCGCGAGGATATTGCGCCGCCCGGCAATTGACAAAAAAAGGCAATGATTGCCAAAAAAATGAAGCACTATATATAAAGCGTTGGTACCTTAGTTATATTTCATTATCGTAAATCGATACTCTTGTGCAGGTTTCACTACAAAATGAGTTTGTTAGCAACCTTCATTCTTACGTTTCTATGCGTAGTTGAATGTTGCGCTCAAGAACATCGAAGCAATATCAGCTTTGCCACAAGGAGTCCAGAGATCGAACCTGGCTCGGGAGATTCTGATAACGACGTAAGCCTATCTAGTGAAATTGAAAATGTAACTTCAACGAAAATCGATCAACGCGATATCAGAATCAAAGCTTTGGAACAGAAACTGAAAGAAATTGAGAGAGAGAAAGTAAAGAAGTGCTCTCCGACGTCATGTGAGTTTAGGAAAATATATCTGTTTGTAGACTCTCTTACTATTTATATTATTTTGTTTTATTTTTCTACCTTTATCAAATTCACAGACGAAATTATATAATATTAGCATAGAATTGGGTCTTATTGGTAAGTCGATGGTTCTAATTTCAATCAGTAATTTAAAAAAAAATAATTATTTAATTACCACATTGCACAATTGCTTAATCGGGAAACCTGAATCTAAAATACTGGCTTTATATTCAATGCGATATTTCGTTATTACAGTTTTTTATATGATTTTCAGATTTTAAGAAAGTATATATTTTCAGTTTTAGACACCTGGGACATGGCATCTTTAATCATGGAAAAAGCTCGAGAAACTGCAATAAATGGTAAAATATTGGATTGTTTTTAAATAATTACAGAATTATAATAAATATAAAATTGAAGATGATAATTTCATGAATACAAGAAAGTCAATGTATGTGATACATTTGAAATACAAATACAACTCTGATGATTGCAACCCTCACGTGTAAGGTTTTTGTAAACTAAAATATTTGTTCTTTAGTTCCAAATGATTCTCAATGTCAAACAACATGTCGACCAGGTAAGAAAGGCCCGGAAGGTGCAAAAGGTGATATTGGACCGAAAGGACAAAATGGTGCCACGGGAAGACAGGGAGCTAAAGGAGAAAGTGGAACACCATGTAATTGCTCACGTTATGATGAGTTAGCACGCAAATTTCAAATCCTCGAAGAAGAAAAAGGTTACCATCTTAAATTCATAGCCTTATTATAAATCATCACAATGTTTTATTGAAGGACTTCACGTTAATTGATTGTGTCGCAAACCGCAAGTGTTGCATATTTGACCAAAAATGAGAACTTGCAAATCACTCTCCGGATCTAAACGTCGATATGGAGCTTTGGCTTTTCCTAGATAAATTCTGTTTTAAGCAATTATAAAGCTTTTTTTATATGGTTTTATATTTGTTTTTATTTTAATTTTAGCTCGTGAATTACAACCCGTAGAAGATGGTTGGTATCGTGTTCACAGTTACCCATATTGGTACAAATTGGTCAATGTATCGTCGGACTATCAAACAGCCAGAAAATACTGCGAAATCATGGGAGGCCAATTAGCAACAAACGGTATACGCAATCCAACTATTCGCAGGTAATTTAACATTGTATATTACAGTGATAATAATATTGTCATTTGACTCTATGAATATTTAGACAATAATACTGCTGCAAAAACAGCAGGCGATCCCACATATCCCGTGGAAAAGCCAGTGCGTTTCCCATTTATTGGGTGTAAAAGTTAAGTAGTTTCATACTCATTTTATAACGAGGCTGAATTTCCGGTGAGAATTCTGTTCCGATTGGAGACAAAATAATTTGAAATAAAGAGCAATATGCTTTTGCATACTGCTCCAAAATTTCAAATCGATTTAATCTAAAGGTTGCGCAAAAATTTTTTTTTCCGAGGATCAACTGTTAGATGGAAGTTAAATACACTATATTTGATTTTAACCTCGTCTTAAGACAATTTAATGAAAAAACTATGAATAGCTTAATCTTTTAAGTGAGTTGGATCCATTTAATTATGTGAAAAGAATTATGTGAAATTTATTTTTCGTATTCTTCAAATTGTTTGATATTGTTGGTCCAAATTAAACATAAAATAATATTATTTTCAGTGATCTTCTCGACAAGTTCATCAGAAGTTCGGGAAAGTCGATCTGGATAGGACTTGACGATCTTGAGAAACCAGACAACTGGAAATGGTCCGACGGAATTTCATCAACTTCTTCTAATACACCATGGGGTGAAGGCGAACCAAATTATTCACATGAACGATGTGCTTGTATGTACATTCACTTGCAATATCAGATAGCAGATTTGAGTTGTACTTACAAACAATTCTACCTTTGTGAGAAGTAATTGAAAAATACTCTTCTTACTTTTGATTAATGGGAATAATATCAACAAAAGAAAAAACAATTTTTATAGTAACTCTGCTGAAATATTGCCACGACTGGTCATTGTTTAAAAATTGAGTAACTAGTATTTTTATTCACTAAATTCTGCTTTCGACTTTTTTTGTGGATTCATTGTAAACTCAATCTTATCAAAAACCCGTTTTTATTATAAAATCATGTATTCTGAGTATCGATAATATTAAATGATATTAATTATTGAGCTTAATTAGTGCGTTTTTTTGAACTCAGAGAATTTTTCGATGAATGATAATAAACCGAATCATTATATACTTGTGAATAAAACTCATAGCTAAACCTCGGCTTATTATCTTTGGTGTTGAAAGTTTCTATTTTCTGAAAAAACTTCAAAAAGACATCCCAAGATTCCGACGTTTACATAATTATAGCGTAATCTAACCTTGAGGTCATTGCGCCAAATCTCTAATGTACCAATGCTCACCCTCAAAAAAAAACGGGATGAAAAAAATAAAAATAAATAAAGGGCTACGCGTCGACAAGTAGAAGGTCACCATAGGGCGCAGGGGCGATTAAAACAGTACCCTGTGATAAATATCATTTATGTAACAAATTGACCTCTCACCTCCAATTCCACTTTATTATTCACCATTTGAATATATTCACACTAAACCATGTGGTGGTGAGGAACTGATTGTCAAAGAATGAATAAGCCGAAGCTTTTACAATTCGTGGTATTATTACAAAATACTCTCGACACAGGCTTCACCATCAAATACAATCGATTGACCTTTTGGTTTAGTACCCTGATCCTCATGTAGATTATTTTCATTATGATTTTGATGTTTAATACATTGTGTCACCTCGTCAACCTGTGATTACTTTACTATGCCATTGTTGTGTGTTTAATCATTTTACAGATTGTTAACTTAGGTTTGATGAAAAAAAATGACGTGCATTAGCCACTTTGCGATATGTGTCTAGGCCAGAGTATATTATTGTAAATTTTATACAATTCACTGATCTCCAAGGATAGGGTTAACACAATTGAACCTTGTCATTTCCAAGCTATCGGACATAGGGCTTGATATTTTGACAGTACATTTTCAGGAGAGTCTCTGGTGGAGTTTATATACATTAGACGCGCAGTTCGAAATATACGTGCCCAGTGCCCACTGAATTAGGATTTAGTACGCACGGCCCCGATTGATCATTTTTATAAAACCACTGGCGTAATCATACAACACAACTCAAAAACCACCTTTCCCTTATGTCACCTTTGCGACGGTCGTGGTGCAATGGGAATAGGATACTGGTACTGTACCATAAGACGTAGAATGAGGCGCACTGCTAATAAATTGCTTTGATTGGTCTTATATTTCATACATAAGGCGTATTTAAGATAAGATGATATAACGTATTGTTATTATTTTAAAATTATGCTTGATACTTTACATTGGCTATCTTCTCCTTGTGCTTTTTCAAAGTACGAAGATGAAAACAGAGTTGTCAAGTCAGAATGGGAAGAAGAATACGCATTTACCAGTCAGAAGAATAAACCTTTGTGCATAATCTGCCATAAGCTACTAAGTCAGAATAAAGTCAGCAATGTTGAACGGCACCATGAATCGAATTATGAAAACTTCTTACGAGACTACCCTTGTAAATCAGCTATAAGGAAACACAAATTAAATGAGCTCAAATTGTGCATATATTTGAGCATAACTGCCTTGTTACTTATCGATTTTAATCGGTAAGTATGTTGATAGATATTTGTCTGTATGTATGTATGTCTGTAAGATGCACGCGATATCTCACTTATCTATTTATTGTGTGAATTTCTTTTCTGTTCATGGTATTTTGATAATATTAAGAAATTCACAAATTCTGCGGCTCTTTTAAAGTTCTGACTTGCAGCATGCGGCTCTTATACTAAAAAATTGTGCCCACCCCTGGTATATATGATGATGAGTGAATGTTGAAAATGCTATAATCAAAGAATTCGATATTAAAATGTTTACACTCGAATTGTTTGAAACAAAATTTATTATCAAATTTAGTTCTTTTGCCTAAACTTTCCGGCTTTGAAAGTCAAAATGATGCTTACGACGTTACGAGACTATCATTGTCCGGCGCTCCAGAAGTATGAGTAACAATATGAAGGTAACTAATTTTGTTCGTATATTTAATTGGCTAACACAGACAGTCCCCGAACTCGTAATAAAACTAAAATAGGGGAAATCGGAATAAAACTTTGGCTTAACCGTAAGTGGTACACATGCTACGAGAGTACCCATTGTCCTGGTATAAGTGTCTCGTATTTCACATTTACTACATTTTGCTTAAAACATTACTGATAAATATAAATATCATTCCACTGTTTAAAATAAAGAGGTTTACAATGAATATTATATTTAAATAATAAATAATATATATCATTCTTGAATTCACTGCTACTTGGATAAAGTAATACGATTATTATTTAATATTTGTTCCTTACAGGCATTATTCAGGTACAACAGATCAATTAATTAAAAAAGGTGTCTTCATTTTTAAGGTTAAAATGGTACCGTATTACGAATTTAAACAAATCTATTTAATTAACCGTATTTGAATATTTAACTCTTCAAAAAGAATATTTGGAACAAGAATAACTGATGGATAAAATTGAAAAAAATTTAAGAATAAATTTTTGAACCGGTTAATTAAATTCTGAAACAAACAATTTAAAAGAAAATGAAAAAGCATTGGGCCCATGTGGATATTGAGAGCTTGGACTTTAGCCTGAGTTGTAGATAAGCTACAGACTACAATTTTCTGATTAATCTTTTAGAAGGGAAGAAAAAAAAGAGATTACTTTTCACAAAGGTATAATCGATTTAGAAAACAACGGGTATCTATCAACTTATATTGCAGTGGCTCGAACATACAAGCACATCGTTCATTTGGACCATTTGGTTCTCCTTCACTCCATGGTGTATTAGAAGAACTTGATAAAACTGTCAGACCATTTTCAGTTGTCTTGTTTCTCAAAATCGTCAAGTCCTATCCAGATGGAAGTTCCAGTTCTTCTGATAAACGTGTCGAGAAGATCGCTGAAAATGATATTTATTGTATTTTGAACATAGTGAACATAATTTAGTCTAACAATATTAAAGACAGAAAAATTTTAAAATATAACTAATGAAGTTCAACGTGATATTTTCTAAGGCATTGAATTCTCGACATTTTTTTTCTTATTCGAAATGCGAAACGAAAGTAAAAGCTGTTCAATATTTACTTCTGAACAATAAATTGAAGAAAGGGTAAAGGTAAAATTTAATTTCAGTTTTATATGATGAATGCTCAAACCCCATCTAATCGCGCAACTCCTATAATAATCGATTTGAATTTCTCATCATTAGAAGGTTGAATCAGTCAAAAGGTGCATACTATCATTTTTCAGTTCTTTTGTCCTCAGTCGTGCCAAAAGTACACCGTACGTACGTACGTAATTCACCTCGTTCTCGTGGCAAAAAAAGACCGAAACTACATAACTCACTCACACCCTAAAAGAAGAAAACATATGAGATCGTTCGACGATGAAGCATCATAGCTTTCCCACAGTAAAGTTGAGATCGTGAAAGTGTTTTTTGAATTACTGGTGAAGTTTAAATATTTGTTGAGTCAAATGACTAAATGGCAATACTACCATCATTGTAATATACAACGTTTAATTACCTGCGAATAGTTGGGATGCGAATACCGTTCGCTCCTAATCGGCCGCCCATGAGTTCGCAGTTTTTTTCTGGCTGTTTGATAGTCTAACGATATTTTGACCAATTTATACCAATATGGGTAACTGTGAACACGATACCAACCATCTGCTACTGGTTGTAAAGCTCGAGCTAGAATTAAAATAAAACAAATTGTTACCGCCAATATCTTGAAGTAAAATCATTGCTCCCGCAAGTTAGCGCCATGGACCAGCTTATCGAATGCTTGGTTATTGCACCACAATGACTTTGTGGAAGTGACGTCAGGGGACCGCGCACGCTGCAGGGTTCTGGAAGTTTCTGGCTGATGGCTGTTCTGACGTCGGTCTGAGAGTGTTATTTTAGGGTTTATAATTGATTAATTAGTGAACGACTTAAGCTTGTAGTGTTAGTTATATGTAGGATATTTATTTGTACTGCTAATAATAGTGTATTATTGATATTCCTCACAGTTTTTATTGTAGTATTGCTAAGTAATTCAGTCAAGTTATTGTGATTTAATGTTCAAGTTACTGCTTGACGACCCTTGAGGACACAACGTCAAGTAAGTTTATACATATAGTTTTGTATTCTAAGTTTTACATGATTTTGTATTTGTTTTCCTGTGAGGCCTTGAAAGTGCCGGCAGAGGTAATTTGTGTGTTTGTTTATTATAACCGTTAGTGATGCCATATTTGGTCATTAGATGATTGTGTGACGTAATAAAGATATTTAAGGTTTGTTTACAATATTATAGTATAGTATATGATACGATACTGCTCCGATCTTGTTATTATTTGTGTATTTATTATTTTTATGTTATTTCAGAAAATCGTACTTCTTTGTATTGTGCATCTGTTCGTACTGACGTACTGCTGTATTGTTGTTCATACTGCTGTATTGTTGTTCGTACTACGTTGTTTGTTCGTATTGTTTTATACTGTTTGCAACACATCACAAGAAAATAAAACATCTTATGCTCATACAGTGATAGTTCGCGTCTTTTTGGGAGTGCAACCTGGTCGTCATGAGTATTGGTATTGGCCATCCTATGTGGGCAGAGTCTGCGCTCCACAATTAAGATTTAATCAAGGCTCTGCGCCAACACAAATATAGAATCATATAAAAAGCTTTATAATTGCTTAACGTATAGGGATTTATCTTAAAAAAACCAAAGCTCCATATTTACGATTAGATCGAAAGAACGATTTGCAAATTTTACTTTTTAGCCATATATGCAACACTTGCGACACAATGAATTAACGTAAGGTTTTCAAATAAAAAAATGTAACAAAGTATAACATAGATATGAATTTGGGATAGTAATCTTTTTCTTCGAGGATTTGAACTTTGAGTGCCAACTCATCATATCCTGAACAATTACATGCTGTTCCACTTTCTCCTTTAGCTCCCTGAAGTCCCGTGGCGCCATTTTGTCCTGGTGATCCAATATCACCTTTTGAACCTCCAGGGCCTTTCTTGTCTGGTCGACATGTTGTTTGACATTGAGAATCGTTTGGAACTAAAGAAAAATTATTTCGGTTTTCTAAAATTTTTACACGTGAACGTTGCATTTACCAAAGATGTATTTGTATTTCCAAATTATCGCTTACATTGACTTTCTGGTATTCATGTATTTAACATTTTTTTTATTTATCACAAGAATGTAATTATTTAAAAATAATCCAATAATTTACCATTTACTGCTGTTTCGCGAGCTTTTTCCATAATTAATGATGTCATGTCCCAGGTGTCTAAAACTGAAAATATATACTCTCTTAAAACTCAATGATCTGAAATCTGTCTTATTGAAAATTGTTATAACGAAATTATCATTTTATATAAAAAAAAAACTTTTTTAGACTCAGGCAGGGGCTTAGCCAGGGGGTGATTTTGGGGGCCGGACCCGCTGGCTGTTTCGATCTAACTTGGCAAATAGAAATTTTGCGAACAGATATATTGTCCTCAACTCACATGACGTTGGCGAACACTTCTTTTTTTATTTTTCTCTCTCTCAATTTCTCTCAGTTTCTGTTCCAGCATTTAGATTCTGATGTCGTATTGATCGATTTTTGTTGAAGTTACATTTTCAATTTCACTAGATAAGCTCACGTTGTTATCAGAATTTCCCGAGCCAGGTTTGATCTCTGAACTCATTGTGACAAAGCTAATATTGTTCCGCTGTTTTTGAGCGCAACATTCAACGACGCATAGGAACGTAAGAATAAAGGGTGCTAACAAACCCATTTTGTAGTGAGAACCAGCACACGAGTATCGATTTACGATAATGAAGGTATGACATAGGTACCAACGCTTTTTATATATTGCCTCATTTTTTTGGCAACCATTGTTTTTTTTGCCGATTGCCGGGCAGCGCAATAACCTCGCGTTTTAAGTCTTAAAATCCAAATGGCATCGCAGATTACACAAATTCCATGCGCCCTGCCCCACTCAGGGGGTAATAAATTGGATAGACAGTGCTGAAACCAAAAGGGTCAGGTCATTCTAAATAAATAGTAGCTACTCAAATATCATTGGATGTCAGTGGTTGCTTTTACAGGGTCTTGTTTTGAGTGAAAACCGCGAGTAAGCGACTTATTAAAGAAAATCTCATCTTGTTTCTTTATTTTAAAAGAGAATGGCCCAGAATCGTGAGAGTGTTTCATGTTTGTATATTTTTGCAACGTTAGTTAATTATGACATCCTTCATTTATAACTATCTTCTCTTGCGTCATTTTCAGCAGCCATTATTTGAGCATGTTTTTGCATTTGAAAAAGTTTATTCGATGCCACATACTAGTTTTTCCCTTTATAATAAGTCGCTGGTTATGCTATATATTTTTATAATGGCTCATGAGGTGACACAAAGAAACAGAAGTCACTATTATACTAAAACGAATCGACATAGAGAACAAGTTACAAAACCACATGTATGAAAAAGTAAATCTGTGAGTGGCAATTTGTGATTCAACCTTAGCAAAAAGCAACGTTAAACACTGCATTGAGATGACCTGACCACCGAGACAGGCGCCTACGCTCGATGTATTCAAGTTCGTGGTTGGTTTCGGATGCGTGATGCGAGTTCGTAATAATTTAATTTGACACGCGCGTGGGCCACGCGAGTGAGTTTGTGTGTGTGTGCGTTTTCATTTTTGTTAGAATCGTCGATTATTTTCGTAAGCGTGACGTGTTATTCGGGCCCTCACATCGGTATTTATTCTCTCTATATATCTTGTACTATTAGGGCGACGATAATTGGTTTTAACTGGGAGTCCAACGCGAAAAACAAGTTATTATTCAATCATCGGCGACGAGATGCTAAAAATAATTAAAGGAAGAAATCCACAACCCAAATTTCGATTGAAGAGCGACATCATAAAAAGAGAAAAGTTTTGTCGATAAAGACCGTGACAGATTAGAAAGGCTTTGTAGACAATGTAAATCGCAAAATTTTGTGTGACTACGGCACACACGTTATGGAATGAAGGGCCCCTGGAAACCATACCCTCGTCACTAAATCGAAACAGAGTCAGCTGTGCGCGTGATGCACTTTTTTATTCGTTCTAAACCTACCGGCGGGGCGGCAGGCGACTTTTTCCGGATTAGAATGATATATAGGATAATATATGTAAAGTATACTCGATCGATTTAATACTGTACCACAATAAATTGTACTCCATCGCAGACGATAATATCCCAAAATAAGCTGAGTGGCAGCAACTCGGAAAAATACGAATCAAAATATAATTTACCACACATTTTTAGATCTGCCAATTGCCGCGGAATTTGAAAGTAATACTTTCATCTTGAGTTACGTTGAATATAATTGACTAACTAAACAAAGAAATACATTTTAAAAGCCCTTAGTTGTCAGTTCAGTCATGGATTGAATATTTGGCGCGACAGAAAAATCATTATACGCTGGGAAAGTCTGATCTTTTAAAAATCGTTGTAATCACAGCGATTCAGAAAGCGTTGCGTGAGAGATTGTGATTTTGAACCTCTTCCCCCATTTTGAAAACCCTTGCTGAGTTCAAATGTCGTGTAATACATATGTAAATAATATATACTGGTACTTCGATTTGATATCGCCAGTGAGTTTGATACTTTCTTTGATTACAGTTGAACCCGATGGAAATGTTCCAGGAATTATCTATGGCGCGTATAAACTCGAAATGAGAAGTTCATTTCTAGTTATTGTGCATTTTATTTAAAGCATTTGCAAAATATGACATTACGTGCGTGGATGAAAAATATAAACAAGATTTACTTATAATATTAAAGCCTGATCATATTAATGATAATTACCATTGTGTCTAGCTACAACAATAAAAAATAAGCTTGACAGCTTTTTCTATATCTCGTTGGTGTTTTCGTGATTTCATATCAAATATAACGTTCAATATCAAAATATTACATCAATATATCTTTTCCCATCGAAACTTTTGTACACATGAATAGCATTTCATGGTAACTGCCAACTGTTCAAACTTTCAATGGGCTCATATATGTCGAAATACTTCAGAATTCAGAAAAATAGAATTGTATGTGCAGATATAGAATTTATATGGCACAAAGAGTGTATTAGCCTAGCATGGTCTTTGTGTGTTGGAGAAAACATTCATCTGAACGTGTTGATTACGAAAACAGCAGGATGATTTACAATGCACAATTCAGTCGTCTTCCAAATCCTAAGAATGAAAAAAAATGATATGATGTAAAGAAAAAATTAATAAAACATATCAAATTTATAATGAATTTTATCATTTTGTAACCTCAATGAAAAAAAGGAAATCACACTAGTACATTCTGATAAAATTCGACTTAGTCAAGTATTTGGCAGAAAACATTCCTCGAAAACGGAAATATCAATATTTTTTAACACCCTTTTTTAATTTTGAAGAACGACATATTTAGTAATTTAGCTCGTGTCACGTTCAATTGATTCGAACTATATTTTTAATTAAAGGTTTGCCAGAAGGGCCATAATTTAGCCAGGGGTGTGCAACTTTTATTAGAAAAGGCCCAGATACAAATAACTGAGTGAAAAGAGACAAATGAAACAACAAGTTAAACCTTTGGTAATACTACGAATACGAGTTTTAAACTAGCATTTTTCATTTTCTCTTTTCCACCAGATAATGCAACCGAAAATAACTGCGGTTATAACAACCACAGCGAGAGTACATGCAATTATAGTAGCTGCAAGCCCCGATGCTTGAGTCGAAGCAGAGTATTTGGCGGCATCTCAAATGTTGATTATAGCTTTATAAAATCGTTGACAAAATCTATAATAATGAGATGAAAATATTCAAAAATTAAACGAACGTATGAACAAAATGATGTTCTGATAAATGCTGTTACTGTAATTAGTTTAAGGGAATCACGTATTATTTACCTATCTAGCCGACGGAAAAATTGGTCAAATTGAGTCGAGCAAATTTGTTCTGGCTTGCTCCACCATTGATTTTGTAAAATAAATATGTTGTGTAATACGATGAAGCTTTCATATCAGTTGAAATAAAATTTATTTCTTCGCCTACAGCAAATATAAAAAAAACTGCACCGATTGCTAGTTTGGAAATCTATTATGGTGTTGGGATTTTGCGTGGGCGTTGCGGTTCTCGGAGTTTCAATGTAGTCGCAGTCCTGGAGGTCATATTGAGAAAGTAGGCCAAACATTACCTTTTCCGTGTACTATTTATGTACACTACCTAGTAATTACTGGCACTCAGAAAGATACAGTTACGCCAAAATACATGTACATACATGCTAGATACATGTACGACGTAAACAGGATGCGGAAAGTCACCTACAGAATAGACCGATTGATTTCTTCCGAAATAAGTTTCTTTATCAATATCGGAGTCAACCGAATATCTTCTGACTGTAACAACTCTTTTTGCGACTTTAATTTAAGTTAAAATGTTTGTGCCTGCAAGTTTTATTTTGCAAATTGAGCAAACACTACAACTTGAGCATTAGGCAAATAGGAACTTCAATCACTGCATCGACATTATCCGACGCCCAAGTCTGTTATCTACTCTCGATTTTATCAAAGTCCGAGATTGTTTCCGGATGCGTAATGCGAGTTTGTTTGTGCACGACTTAAGCGAAGATTTTATGAGTGGCATAGACTGCAATACCTTGATTTGATTTTGTTCGCCCGAGGCTTGCGTGGGTGTGTCTCCACTATACCCGATTGAAGTATAGTAGGCTGCGCTACGTATTCATACATAGCATGGCGAAATATTGGTTGAGATACTGGTGACCTGCTGAGATATTGCGCTTATTACATTGCACTAGTGAATTAAAAAACATACTTCTTTGAGATGATGATTGTTTGAAACTTTCGATTAAGTTAAATAAATGCAAAGCAAATAAGCAAATAATTTATTCGTATTCTTTTTTTTATAATACCCAACATATATACAATGCAAAATCCTTTAAACCAAATAAAGAATACTAAAGCAGAATAAATATTAGAGACAGAGTCTTGTAAGTTTATAAAGTCCTTTATCAACAATAACAATATTTTAATGCGATGAATCACAGACCAAGGTCAACTACAGCCGACAGGGTAAAGCTTTTATAGCCGACATAATATAGCCGCCATACACAAAACCATTTCTGATGAGCTTTAGCCATCATAGCAGTCAATTTATAACTTGATATACAAATACTAGATATTACAAGCTAATAACAATTTTCTGAATGGAATGCAGGCTTGAAAAGATGACCCGAACAAAACAACTTGCATTTTATTTCATGTATTAACCATAAAATTGACTTAAAAACTATCCGATAAAAATCGACGGAGTTGCGAAACTCAAACGGTGCCATTCTCAGAAAACTCAAGATCAATATAGACACAAATTTTCAAATATTATTTTCATTAATTATAAGTAAAACAGAAGGTCTTTTTTCATTACTTCTCACAAAGATAGGATGTTTGAAAACTACAATTTAAATCTACTACTTTATACTGATAGTCATGCCACATACACCCACATCTTTGATCTTGACCATCTGGTTCTCCTTCACTCCATGGTGTATTAGAAGAAGTTGATGAAACTCCGTCTGACCATTTCCAGTTGTCTTGTTTCTCAAGGTCGTCAAGTCCTATCCAGCTCGGAGTTTCTGTTCTTCTGATGAACTTGTCGAGAAGATCGCTGAAAATAATATTATATTATGTTAAATTTGGACCAACAATAGCTAATAATTTAAAAAATACGAATAGTAAAGTTTAACGTAATTTTATTCCAATGAATTGGATCCAACACTCACTTAAAAGTTTAAAGTATTCATAGTTTTGTTCTCACCATGAAAAGACTTGCAAAAAGTTAAACTATTTAATTTCTAGCTTACAGTTGCAAAAAAATGCTTTTGTGCAAATTCTATACTAGATTAATCTATTTGTATTTACATGTCTTAAAAGTCTTAATTTCCAATTGTTTTGTCTCCAATCGGGGCAGAAGTTTCACCAGAAATTCAGCTGGTTCTGCGTAACCAAGTGAGTATGAAACTACATAACTTTCAAACCTTATAAAAGGAAAACGTTCCATCTTTCCCACCGGATATATGTGATTGCCAAAGAGTTTTTGCAACAGTATTGCTGTTTAAATAATTATCGAGACGAATAACAATACTATTATCAGTGCAAGATCAGTGTTGAATTACCTACGAATGGTTGGATTCCGAATACCATTCGCTGCTAATCGGCCACCCATGAGTTCGCAGTTTTGTCTGGCTGTCTGATAGTCTGACGATACTTGTAACAATTTGTACCAATATGGGTAACTGTGAACACGATACCAACCATCTGCTACGGGTTGTAATTCTCGAGCTAAAATTGAAATAAAAACAAATATAGAATTATATAAAAAAAGTATATATTTGCTTAAAATTAGGATTTATCTAAAAAAAAAAGCCAAAGCTCCATATTGACGTTTGGATCCGGAGAGAGATTTACAAATCCTCATTTTTTTGTCATATGCAACACTTGGACACAATCAAATAACGTAAGGTTTTTGAATAAAACAATGTAATAAAGTATAATAAGACTATGAATTTGCAATAGTAACCTTTTTTTTCTTCGAGGATTTGAACTTTGTGTGCCAACTCATCATATCGTGAGCAATTAAACGATGTTCCACTTTCACCTTTAGCTCCCTGACGTCCCGTGGCGCCATTTTGTCCTGTCGGTCCAATATCACCTTTCGCACCTTCAGGGCCTTTCTTGCCTGGTCGACATGTTGTTTGACATTGAGAATCGTTTGGCACTAAAGAATAGATATTTTAGTTTACAAAATGCTTACACGTGGGGGTTGCGTTTAGCGAGTTGTATTTTCTTTCTGAATTATCGCTTATATTGACTTTCTCGTATTCGTGAAATTATCATTTCCAATTAACTATTTATTACAAGTCTGTAATTATTTAAAACTAATCAAATATTTTACCATTTATTGCTGTTTCGCGAGCTTTTTCCATGATTAAAGATGCTATGTCCCAGGTTTCTAAAACTGAAAATATATAATCTCTTGAAACTCGATAATCTGAAAATCTGACTTATATTAAAAATTGTTATAACTAAATTGCATTAAATATAAAAACAATATTTTAGACTCAGGAATCCCGATCAGGCATCGATGCAATCTGTCAATTTAATCAAAATTATTTTTTAATTTACTTTTTGGGATTACAACAAACACCGTCAAGTTATCAAAAGAACGAAATCTATGCTGATATTATATAATTTCGTCTGCAATTTGATAAACACAGGAAAGTGAAACAAAATAATAGAAAGAATAAAAGAATCTACGAACAGATATATTTTCTTAAACTCACACGAAGTTGGCGAGCACTTCTTAACTTTTTCTCTCTCAATTTCTTTCAGTTTCTGTTCCAGCGCTTTAATTCTGATATCGTATTGATCGATTTTTGTTGAAGTTACATTTTCAAGTTCACTAGATAGGCTTACGTTGTTATCAGAATCTCCCGAGCCAGGTTCGATCTCTGGACTCGTTGTGACAAAGCTGATATTGCTTCGATGTTCTTGAGCGCAACATTCAACTACGCATAGGAACGTAAGAATGAAGGATGCTAACAAACTCATTTTGTAGTGAGAACCAGCACAAGAGTATCGATTTACAATAATGAAAGTAGAACTCAGGTACCAACGCTTTTTATATAGTGCTTCAATTCTTTAGCAACGAGTGCCTTTTTCGTCAATACCTATTTGAGTTTTTCTCCTCATAATAATTCGACACTTATTTTATATTCCTGTTTTATACAACAAATATTCAGACTGATAAAAATACATTCGATTTGAGTCGGTGATAAGCTTAAAATAAAACGCTGGTTATGCTATATATTTTCATAATGGCTGATGATGTGACACAAAGTAACAAATCTCACTATTATACTAAAACGAATCGACATAAAGATCAAGTTACAAAACCACATGTATGAAAAAGTAAATCTGTGAGTGGCAATTTGTGATTCAACCTCAGCAAAAAGCAACGTTAAACACTGCATTGAGATGACCTGACCTCCGAGACCGGCGCCTACGCTCGATGTATTCAAGTTCGTGGTTGGTTTCGGATGCGTGATGCTGATAAATTAATGTGACACACTCGTCCGGTGGCGAACCCAAGTGTGTGTGTGTGTTTGTGGGGGGGAGGGGAGGATGCATTTGACCGAAAAATTTGATAAAGCGTGCGATTTTATTTTTGTTGTGAACGTTAATTTTATTCGTAAGTGTGACGTCTTATTTAGGTTCACACATCGGTATTTATTCTCTCTATATATCTTGTTCCATTAGGGCAACGATAATTGATTTTAACTGGGAGTCCAACGCGAAAAACAAGTTATTATTCAATCATCGGCGACGAAATATAATTAAAGGAAGAAAACCACAACCCAAATTTCGATTGAAGAGCGACATCATAAAAAGAAAAAAGTTTTGTCAAAAAAGACCGCGACAGATTAGAAAGGCTTTGTAGACAATGTAAATCGCAAAATTTTGTGTGACTACGGCACACATGTTATGGAGTGATGGGCCCCTGGAAACCATACCCTTGTCACGAAATCGAAACACAGTCAGCTGTGCGCGTGATGCACCTTTTTATTCGTTCTAAACCTACCGGCGGGGCAGAAGGCGATTTTTTCCGGATTGGAATGATATATAAGATAATATATGTAAAGTATACTCGATCGAATTAATACTGTACCACAATAAATTGTACTCCATCGCAGACGATAATATCCCAAAATAAGATGAGTGGCAGCAACTCGGAAAAATACGAATCAAAATATAATTCACCACACAATTTTAGATCTGCCAATTGCCGTGGAATTTGAAAGTAATACTTTCATCTTGAGTTACGTTGAATATAATTGACTAACTAAACAAAGAAAAACATTTTTAAAAGCCCTTAGTTGTCAGTTCAGTCATAGATTGAATATTTGGCGCGACAGAAAAATCATTATATGCTGGAAAAGTCGGATCTTTTAAAAATCGTTGTAATCGCAGCGATTCAGAAAGCGTTGCGTGAGAGATTGTAATTTTAAACCTCTTCCTCCATTTTGAAAACCCTTGCTGAGTTCAAATGTCGTGTAATACATATGGAAATAATATATACTGGTACTTTAATTTGTTATCGCCAGTGAGTTTGAGACTTTGTTTGATTACAGTTGAACCCGATGGAAATGTTCCAGGAATTATCTATGGCGCGTATAAACTCGAAATGAGAAGTCCATTTCTACTTATTGTACATTTTATTTAAAGCATTTGCAACATATGACATTACGTGCGTGGCTGAAAAACATAAACAAGATTTACTTATAACATTGAAGCCTGATCATATTAATGGTCATTATCATTGTGTCTAGCTACAACAGTAAAAAATAAGCTTAACAGCTATTTCTATATCTTGTTGGTGTTTTCGTGATTTTATATCAAATATAACGTTCAATATCAAAATATTACATCAATATTTCTTTTCCCATCGAAAACTTTAGTACACATAAATAGCATTTCATGGTAACTGCCAACTGTTCAAATTCTCAATATTCATATGAAATGAGAAATGGACAATAAAATCATGAATTTAATCAAGTAGCTCATATATGTCGAAATACTTCGGAATTCAGAAAAATAGAATTGTATGTGCAGATACAGAATTTATATGGCATGAAGCATTTGCCTAGCATGGTCTCTGTGTGTTGACGAGAACATTCATCTGAACGTGTTGATTACGAAAACATTATGAAGCAGGGTGATTTGCAATGTTCATTCAGTCGTCTTCCAAATCCTAAGAATGAAAAAAATGATATGATGTAAAGGAAAAATTAATAAAACATAGCAAATTTATAATGAATTTTATCATTTTGTAACCTCAATGACAAGAAGACATCACACTAGCACATTCGGAAAAAATTCGACAAAGTCAAGTATTTGCCAGAAAACATTCCACGAAAACTGAAGTATCAATTTTCTTTAACCCCTTTTTAATTTTAAAACACAACTCATTTCATGAAAATTTAATAACTTAGCTCGCGTCACGTTCAATTGATTAGAACAATATTTTTAATTGAAGGTTTTGCCAGAAGGGACATAATTTAACCCAGGGGTGTGCAACCTTCAATACAAGAGGGCCAGATACAAATAACTGAGTGAAACTGCGAGTCGCACCTTTCATTAGATATAGGCTTTATAGTAGTTACAAGTAAACAAATTTTGGGTATTGATCATATGGCATGCGCACAAGTCAGCTGTTAGGGCATTGTAACGTCATTGGCCTCAGGTAGAGGCTATGAAACGCAAATGGATTGGAATTACTCAAGCGTACCAGATTGAACTGAATTAAAAATTTGTTTCGCGGACCTCCCACCATTCAAATTGGCACTTTTCCGCGGGGGACACATTTTTCTTCTTGTGATCCCAATTTGGCCCGCGGGCCGCAGGTTGCGAATCCCTGATTTATAGCAAGAAATACATGATCATAATATTCCAGGTTTCCCAAATAGCGTTTACCTAGAATGTGGATTTCAAACAACATTTTTACAAGGGAAAGTCAAAATGAAGTACACTAGTGATCTGTATGTTATTTTCATTTTTCATTCAATTTAGAAAAGGGCGATTTGTACAAATCTTGGTCTTTCTATTTTTCATCCATTTTGAATAAATCCCAAATTTTTGGGTTACCTGAATACTGGAAGTAATAATATGAAACAAACAATTATAGGCGATTCATATTAATCAAAATGTAAAAATAAATATATCTTAGGCCTATAGAAGGAAATTCAAATACATGACATTTATTTGTCTACGTAGTATATGTTCGTTTCCTCGTTTTTAAATAGGGACAATTGAAACAACAAGTTAAACCTCTGGTAATACTACGAATTCCAATTATAAACTAGCATTTTTCATTCTCTCTTTTCCACCAGATAATGCAACCGAAAATAACTGCGGTTATAACAACCACAGCGAGAGTACATGCAATTATAGTAGCTGCAAGCCCCGATGCTTGAATCGAAGCAGAGTATTTGGCGGCATTTCAAATGTTGATTATAGCTTTATGAAATCGTTGACAAAATCTGAAATAAGGAGATGAAAATTTTCAAAAATCAAACGAACGTATGAACAAAATGATGGTCTGGTTATTGATGTTGCTGTAATTTGTTCATGGGCATCACGTATTATTTACCTATCTTGCCGACAAAAAAATTAGTCAAATTGAGTCGAGCAATTTTGTTCTGGCTGGCTTCACCATTGATTTTGTAGAATAAATATGTTGTGTAATACGATGACGCTTCCATGTCAGTTGAAATAAAATTTATTTCTTCGCCTACAGCAAATATAAAAAAAACTGCACCGACTGCAAGTTTGGAAATTTATTATGGTGTTGAGATTTTGCGTGGGCGTAGCGGTTGTTGCATTTTCAATGAAGTCGCAGTCCTGGAGGTCATATTGAGAAATTAGGCCAAACATTACCTTTCCCGTGTACTATTTATGTACACTACCTTGTAATTGCTGGCACTCAGAAATGTTTACATGTTCACAATGTTTACAAAGCTTTTTTAATCTGTCGCGGGCCTTTTTGAACAAAACGTTTCTGTTTTCATGATGTCGGGTTGTGAATTCCTTCCTTTAATTATCTTTAGCATCTCGTCGCCGATGAATAAATAATAACTCGTTTTACGCGTTGGACTTTCAATTAAAATTAATTATCGTCGCCTTATTGGAACAAGATTTATAGAGAGAATAAATACCGATGTGAGGGCCTAAATAACTCGCCACGCTTACGAAAAAAAATGACAATTCTGACAAAAATACAATCGCAGTCAAATGCAGTCAGTCAAAGTATCGATTTATTATATGGGTAAGACTTTAAACTGGAAAACGTATGTGGCATCGAGTAAAATTTTATAAGTGCGGGAACACACTTAAATAATGGCTACTGAAAATGACGCAAGAGAAGATAGATACAAATGTATGATTTCACAATTAACTCATGTGCAAAAATATTCCAAAATTAAACACTCTCGCGATTCTGGGTCATTCTCTTTAAAAATAAAGAAACAAGAAATGGGATTTTCTCTAAGTACGACGCCTTTCCGCGCCTCCCACTCAAAACAAGATTCTGTATAAACAGCCACTGACATCTAATGATATTTGAGTAGTTGAGCCGAACCTTTTGTGTTCGGCACTGCCTACGCAATTTATTACCCCTGAGTGGGGCAGGGCGCATGGGATTTGTGTAATCTGCGATGCCATTTGCATCTTAAGAATTCAACCGCGAGGTTATTGCGCTGCCCGGCAATTGACAGAAAAGGCACTAGTTGGCAAAAAAAAAAAATGGAGAATCATATAAAAAGCGTCGGTACCTAAGTCATACCTTCATTATCGTAAATCGATACCCTTGTGCTGGCTCTCACTACAAAATGAGTTTGGTAGCATCCTTCATTCTTACGTTCTTATGCGTAGTTGGATGTTGCGTTCAGGAACATCGAAGTAATATTAGCTTTGTCACAAGCAGTCCAGAGATCGAACCTGGCTCGGGAAATTCCGATAACGACCTAAGCCTATCTAGTGAAATTGAAAATGTAACTTCAATAAAAATTGATCAGTACGATAGCTTGACTAAAAGAATCAAATCGCTGGAACAGAAAGGAAATGAGAGAGAAAAATTAAAGAGCTGCTCGCCAATGTCATGTGAGTTCAAGAAAAAAATATCCTTTGTTTTTGTAGATGTTTCTTATTTCCCAAAATTGAAGATTAAAATATAGAATCGCAGTATAGATTCACGTCTTATTACTATGCAAATGATGTTACGAACCCATCAAATAAAGCTTTTTTAGTTAATTGTCAAACTGCATTGAGCTAAAAATATTGGTATGATATTCATCGCGATATTTCGTTATTGCAATTTTTAATTTTGGAGCAGTTATTTTTGCTTATCGGGTTTTATGAAAATCGATTTTCATTTTTTTCAGTTGTCAACATCTGTGATATGGCATCGTTAATTGCGGAAAAAGCTCGACAAGCAGCAACAGATGGTGAAATTTATTTTTTTAAATAATTAATTGTATGACTTGCAGTAGAGAGTGGATGCTTTCTTATCATTGGACACATATAAATTTTCCTATCATTTATCATTTAAACTTTCTGATGCAAATTTTTCCAAAATAGGCGCTAAAACTTTCTTACGTTTTGATTCGAATAATTTAATAATCTGCTGTGCAAAAGCATTGAATGTTGATTTAATCCATTCGCCTTTTCGTGACATAATCGGCATAAGAATTCCATAAGTACAATAAATTGAGTTGTTTGGTCATCTTTTTTATTTCATTCTCCAAATCTTTTAAATAACATGACATTAAAAAGACATAAAAAAAAATTCTAAAAAAATTCAGCATATCAATTTCATCGATATATGCATTTTTACGCTTTTTTCCAAATTAAAATAATTATCGTTTTTAGTTCCAAAGGATTCTCAATGTCAAACAACATGTCGACCAGGCAAGAAAGGCCCTGAAGGTGCAAAAGGTGATATCGGATCACCAGGACAAAATGGCGCCACGGGACGTCAGGGAGCTAAAGGGGAAAGTGGAACATCATGTGATTGTTCAGGATATGATGAGTTGGCACACAAAGTTCAAATCCTCGAAAAAGGTTACTCTCTCAAAATCATTCCCCGATTATACTTTGTTACATTGTTTTATTCAAAAACCTTACGTTAATTGATTGTGTCTCAAGTGTTGCATATGGCAAAAAAAATGAGGATTTGCCAATATCTCTATGGATCTAAACTTCGAAATAAAGCTTTGGCTTTTTAGATGAATTCCTCTTTTAGGTAATTATAAAGTTTTTTTTTAAATAGTTCTATATTTGTTCTTATTTTATTTTTAGCTCGAGAATTTCAACTGCTTGAATATGGTTGGTATCGTGTTCACAGTTACCCATATTGGTACAAATTGTTCGAAGTATCCTCAGACTATCAAACAGCCAGAAAAAACTGCGAACGCATTGGAGGCCGATTAGCAGCAAAGGGTATACGCAACCCAACTATTCGTAGGTAATTCAACATTGTATATTATAATTATTACAGTAGTATTGTCATTTAGTCATTTGGCTCGGTAAATACTTGAAATTCACTAGTAATCCAAAAACACTTTCACAATCGCAATTTTACTGCAAAAAATTGATTAATCTAGAAGTTGCGCAAGAGCGATTAGATGATTTTTGAAAATACAACGTATTAAACTGAGTTTTGGAGTTCAACTTTCTTCACTTTATTGTTCAAAAGTAAACATTGAACAGTCTTTTAGTTTCGTTTTGCATTTCAATTGAAAAGGAATGTTCAGAATTCAATGTCTTAGACCAGTGGTTCTCAAACTTTTTTAGTCCCAGGGCCGCATTTCAAACCTCAAAGTTATGAAGAGCCGCACACATACAATGCAAGGTAGAATAGCAACCTACCTTAAGCGCGTATTTAAAATACCAAGTCATCATAACAACAACACACGTAACAACTAGGGCTGGCATTTTACTATTCGAATATCCGGTACCACGTGACCTGCTCCGCTCTGCTTAGACACCGAAATCGCGCGTCTCCAACTCAATCGTGAATACACCTTATTCCTTAAAAACCCATCCTACGCGCAAAAAGAAAAGTGATGTAAAAAATTTTTTTTAACATTAGCTCTTATGGGGAATGTGATCACCGGAGCAGAAATTTGCTTTTTTTGTAATTTTCTAGATATCTTTCATTGTACACGTGAGCAGTTTTGAGGATAGAATATTTTTTACATCTTTTTTGATATTTTTATCATGATAAATATGGCCAAGATTTTTGATGATTTTTGCAGAATGCGCATAATAATAATTTCCCTTATTATGATGCTGTGGTTGAAACCAGTTGTGTACAGAATTTTCTACTCTGAAAAGCTTGATATATATATATACGTTTCGTAGGGTTTAAACTTGTCAAGTTTTCAAAAGAACTACAAACTTCGAAACCGAATTTCGAGGCTCTAGATTTCAGCCTGCCTAGCCCATTGGTAAATCCAGCCCTGGTGATGGTTCCTACAGCAAATTCCTGGCCCTAATCACTCAGCAGATTGAAATAAATGGTTTTCAGAATTTATTAGTAAAGATAGATATTTTAATTAAACATATAGTTCAACTTAAAGCATGTATAATGATATTATAAATATATGTCCCATTATTACTGCATTGTGAGACGGCTTTCCACACTATCAAGTCTATAAAGTTTTAGCGTCTTCCAATGTCTCAGATGGAAACTTCAGTCTTCATTTCGCATATTCTTTTCATTAATGCCATTAGCATTTGAAGCTTGACTGATTCCAATGTACCTTTTCCATTGTTGTTTAATGTAATATCCTAAACGTGACTTCAATTTTTTTTCTCACTTCAATCATCACATGTTTGAATACCCGAGCTGACTTCTACTGATTTGTTATTAATTTATAATAATTTTCATAAATTAACTGTCGTACTTACTAAGTGTCCACTAAGTGAAAATCTAAAAAAAAAGCAGTGGTTTAATAATGGACTACCTGTTTACCCGAATCCAAAAATATTCCGTAACGTAGTCAACCCTTCCTCCAAGGAGTTTTTGTTAAATTGTTCAAACATCTTAATTAACTGTTAATCTTGATAGCGAACATGGGGAGGGGGGGGGGGGGGCAGGGGCTTTTTAACCAGGTCAGGAGACCGGTATTGTACCATTATAGGTTGGAGATATTCACCTTTTTTGTATACCGGTACCGTACAATTTATCCTGCCTATTGGCAGGCTGGCCAACATTTTTGTTCGTAGGCCTATTTCAGTATTTACTAAATAGGCCTAATTTAGTTTTCACCTCTTGCAGCCTTGGTACGGTACCGGTAATTTAAATAACACGTCAGCATGCCTTCAGTAAATGATTGCTGGCGGTACAGGTATAAATGCGTAAAACCAGTAAACAAACGTGATAGAAATGGTATGGGTTATAGATTGTCAATGTTAAACGCTTCCAGGACCGGCACCGTACCCAAAGTGACATTAGCGCCGCAATTGCAGCGCATATCCCACAGAGCACGGCGAGTTGGCAGAATTTCATGGTCTAGTGAGAATGACGTCATCGGAAACAACGCGCTCATTAAAATTTTAATGAACGATTATCAAAAATCTTGACCATGTTTATCATGATAAAAATACCAAAAATAATGTAAAAAATATTCTATCCTCAAAACTACACACGTATACGATGAAACATATCCAGAAAATCTCAAAAAATGCGAATTTCTGCTCTGGTAATCACATTTCCCATAATGCTAATGATAAAAAAAAAATTTTACATCACTTTTATTTTTGCGCGTAGGATGGGTTTTAAATGACTAAGGTCTATTGTGCGAGATTTCCCAACGGCGCTCGCTATCAGTAAAAAAAGGCAAATTTGAATAGTCGTTGTCTTTGGGTTATGGTGTTATATGCTTATCTTTGCACTTAACGTATCGTTTCAATTCCATTGTTTGCAAAAAAAACGTACCAACCGTTCCGTAAACTCAAAAACGTCAAACCAGATTAGGTATTTAAAATTAATTTCCCAGATTTTGAACTCCGCATGCTTGGTGACATGTCATTAGCCATTTCTTGCATTACCGAACATGAGGTTGAATAAATTGTTGATTAAGTTGTCAAAATGACTTTTCGGCGTTTCATTGTGAAAAAGGCGATTTTAGGTCGTTAGAAAACTCTAGGTATAAAAATAGCATGAATTTAAAAATGACCGAAAGTTTTTCCAAAATCTGGTATGAGTTTCTTGTATGAAAAATACCCATTAAGTTGTAACCAGATAAGAAATGTCATGTCCTACTCCCTTTAAAACACTTTGTATTAGTTCTTTAGTGATCTCTTCCATCCTTAGCCAAATAATGTTTCGAATATGTAAACAGTTTACTCGACCATGCATGGCCGTTGAGCCAAGAACGTAGAGCCAAGTAGAACGTAAAATCAATCGTGAATTTCGTTGTAACAATGCACACTGACTCGTTCACGAATTGTTGCGTCTATTATAATCGAAAATGATTACAATTGTTAAATTTTGAAGCATCTAGGCAGTAATAATTAAGCCTTAAGGCATGACATGATCAAAACCATTAGGTGAAGGGCTGAATATGCAAATTCCGTAAAAAAAAATTTGAGCATTACTCAGAAGTATTTTAGCTAAAATAACCATCGGGGTGTTGTTTTGTTGAAAAAAACGTTAAAACTTGAAGGAATTAGTTATAAATAGTGTTTGAGCCTCTATTAGACACAAAGGTCTAGAAATGCCTTTGCTAACTTATTTAATCTCTATTTATTATACGTTACCGTATTAGTGCCGTAGTTGTCATAGTTATCTGCCAGTCGGCGTTCGGAGTCGTTTGCTTAGTGAGTCCGGAAATATTCGGTCTTTTTAAACATAGTCCTGCCAATGTCAGTATTTCGGCGTCCGACTCCTCACTTTAGTACTATATTTAGTTCGATTCTTGTTCTTGTATGACCCAATGTTAGACTATTCATAGGTGTCGCTGCTCGATAACCAATGCTGGTTTATCGCGTCCCCTTTCACCCTGAAATGCATTATTTTCCTCTCTTTTCTTATCTCGTTCTGTATGTACAGTGTGTATTTTTTGGTGATAAAATAAATTACTGATTACAGATTAAATCAACATTCAGGATTCAAGCAATCGTAAATTTGCTAGGTTCATCTATCTAATAGTAAAATAACACGAACACCATAGGAAAGCATGAGAAACTCAATTATCATTCTAATAAATATCTGCATCTCGATTACCGTTCACTTTAAACAGGCACGGTTAATTTACAAGCGGTGATAAGGAATATTAAATCCAAGGCAGAGGATAAAACTCAGAATAAAATGAATTTGATTTTGAAATCAGACCTTATGCATTCAACAGCTGTCGCTGATGTGAACGCAAGGGTATACTAAAAATATGAAACTTCGATATCCAACGACCCCTTATTCTTGCAAAAAACGAGGAAGGACGGGAATATAGTATATCAACTTTATGATATCGCCACCGAAACGTTCTCGGTGACAAAGACAATCAGCGATTATGATAAATTTAACCATTAGCCAGTAAAAACGCTTTGTTGCCGACTTTCCAATGTTTCTATTAATTTCCAAATGGAGTATCGAACTCCGACGTTTGGATCCCTGTTATGTATAAAAAAAAAACATTCATTATTCGACTCTTCGGTATTCGCTTAAAATATTCAAATTATTCGATTCGAAAAAAAATTCGATTTTGCCCACCCTAGACTAACAGTCATTTAATTTGGCTTTGATTTCTAATAAGTTTGCCAAAGCGGGTCGTAATCGTGGAGGATGCAAGGTGCAGTAGCTGCTTGAGATTATCGCTAGATATTTTGGGACTGTTTTCGATTACTGGAACAAAATTAAAATGCTCTGGAAATTGAAATATTCATTGAGTTATTTGATTTATACATAATATTTGGAAACGCGACAAAAACTGAAAATCCACGAAAGCAAGTCAATGATTACAGCCATGTCTAAAATCTTTCCAAATGAAAAGTGTACGGGTGGCCGCAAAAACGCTCACTGTTGCGTCACTATTGCATCTTGTAGATTAGTGAACGCTACGCAAATAAACACGGGGGAATCCATTCGACTAACTAATAGACTTCCGCATTTTAATTTCAAGTCAATGATTAGTTTCCAATGGAAAATTTTCTTTGAAAGTAATTAATTTTTAAAGCATTAACAAGAGCCGCATGAAAGGCTGTTGAGAGCCACATGCGGCTCCCAAACCCTAGTTTGAGAATCACTGCCTTAGACAGTGGTTCCCAACCAGGGTGCCGCGGCACATTAGTGTGCCGCGGAAAGATTTTGGTGTGCCGCGAAGAGATTTCATTTTTGAATTAATTTCAAGTGATTCCAATTTCCAATCCCTTGAATTTCACAAGAATTACCCCACGGCTCTTGCTAACAAACAGAAACGACAAATTTGAGGAGTCGTATTTCAGATATTATTTTAATTCTAAGTTTTCCATAATGCGCGCAAACACCGTTTCGTAAAATTGAAAATGTCAACCAAGGTAACTAATTATTGTGCGAAATTTTCCCCAAACTTGACCAAGGAATTATTATTTGACTAGTAGAATTGCCATAATTGCCGATTTAGTGAATTAGCCAAGAACGTAGAGCCAAGTAGAACGTAAAATCAATCGTGAATTTCGTTGTAACAATGCACACTGACTCGTTCACGAATTGTTGCGTCTATTATAATCGAAAATGATTACAATTGTTAAATTTTGAAGCATCTAGGCAGTAATAATTAAGCCTTAAGGCATGACATGATCAAAACCATTAGGTGAAGGGCTGAATATGCAAATTCCGTAAAAAAAAATTTGAGCATTACTCAGAAGTATTTTAGCTAAAATAACCATCGGGGTGTTGTTTTGTTGAAAAAAACGTTAAAACTTGAAGGAATTAGTTATAAATAGTGTTTGAGCCTCTATTAGACACAAAGGTCTAGAAATGCCTTTGCTAACTTATTTAATCTCTATTTTATTATACGTTACCGTATTAGTGCCGTAGTTGTCATAGTTATCTGCCAGTCGGCGTTCGAAGTCGTTTGCTTAGTGAGTCCGGAAATATTCGGTCTTTTTAAACATAGTCCTGCCAATGTCAGTATTTCGGCGTCCGACTCCTCACTTTAGTACTATATTTAGTTCGATTCTTGTTCTTGTATGACCCAATGCTAGACTATTCATAGGTGTCGCTGCTCGATAACCAATGCTGGTTTATCGCGTCCCCTTTCACCCTGAAATGCATTATTTTCCTCTCTTTTCTTATCTCGTTCTGTATGTACAGTGTGTATTTTTTGGTGATAAAATAAATTACTGATTACAGATTAAATCAACATTCAGGATTCAAGCAATCGTAAATTTGCTAGGTTCATCTATCTAATAGTAAAATAACACGAACACCATAGGAAAGCATGAGAAACTCAATTATCATTCTAATAAATATCTGCATCTCGATTACCGTTCACTTTAAACAGGCACGGTTAATTTACAAGCGGTGATAAGGAATATTAAATCCAAGGCAGAGGATAAAACTCAGAATAAAATGAATTTGATTTTGAAATCAGACCTTATGCATTCAACAGCTGTCGCTGATGTGAACGCAAGGGTATACTAAAAATATGAAACTTCGATATCCAACGACCCCTTATTCTTGCAAAAAACGAGGAAGGACGGGAATATAGTATATCAACTTTATGATATCGCCACCGAAACGTTCTCGGTGACAAAGACAATCAGCGATTATGATAAATTTAACCATTAGCCAGTAAAAACGCTTTGTTGCCGACTTTCCAATGTTTCTATTAATTTCCAAATGGAGTATCGAACTCCGACGTTTGGATCCCTGTTATGTATAAAAAAAAACATTCATTATTCGACTCTTCGGTATTCGCTTAAAATATTCAAATTATTCGATTCGAAAAAAAATTCGATTTTGCCCACCCTAGACTAACAGTCATTTAATTTGGCTTTGATTTCTAATAAGTTTGCCAAAGCGGGTCGTAATCGTGGAGGATGCAAGGTGCAGTAGCTGCTTGAGATTATCGCCAGATATTTTGGGACTGTTTTCGATTACTGGAACAAAATTAAAATGCTCTGGAAATTGAAATATTCATTGAGTTATTTGATTTATACATAATATTTGGAAACGCGACAAAAACTGAAAATCCACGAAAGCAAGTCAATGATTACAGCCATGTCTAAAATCTTTCCAAATGAAAAGTGTACGGGTGGCCGCAAAAACGCTCACTGTTGCGTCATTATTGCATCTTGTAGATTAGTGAACGCTACGCAAATAAACACGGGGGAATCCATTCGACTAACTAATAGACTTCCGCATTTTAATTTCAAGTCAATGATTAGTTTCCAATGGAAAATTTTCTTTGAAAGTAATTAATTTTTAAAGCATTAACAAGAGCCGCATGAAAGGCTGTTGAGAGCCACATGCGGCTCCCAAACCCTAGTTTGAGAATCACTGCCTTAGACAGTGGTTCCCAACCAGGGTGCCGCGGCACATTAGTGTGCCGCGGAAAGATTTTGGTGTGCCGCGAAGAGATTTCATTTTTGAATTAATTTCAAGTGATTCCAATTTCCAATCCCTTGAATTTCACAAGAATTACCCCACGGCTCTTGCTAACAAACAGAAACGACAAATTTGAGGAGTCGTATTTCAGATATTATTTTAATTCTAAGTTTTCCATAATGCGCGCAAACACCGTTTCGTAAAATTGAAAATGTCAACCAAGGTAACTAATTATTGTGCGAAATTTTCCCCAAACTTGACCAAGGAATTATTATTTGACTAGTAGAATTGCCATTATTGCCGATTTAGTGAATTATTATTTAAACTCGAAATAACATTCAGGATTCACACAATGACTTTGCAGGGTTTTTATTCACCAATTAATACGAAAATAAATCAGACACAATAGGAAAGTAAAATCATAATAAGTTCAACTATCGTCTTTATAAATATCTGCATTCCGACGTCAGAAATAATAATATTTTTAGCTTAAAATTGGGACAGAAAGATCAAAACCAGCGTAAAAGATAAAAATCAGAACAAAAATCCCGAATTCACTCTTTAATAGGTGTCTTTAACATATGTCGCCCATATGAACGCATAGTTCTCCCAAGAATATAAAACCAAATGTTGCATAAAAATTATTTCTTGTAAAAAAAGAGAGGACGGGCGGAAATAGATCACCAACATTAGAATGCCTGGATGCCCATTGTATGTGTATTAAAAATATCCGATATTCGACAATTCATTAAAAATATTCGAATTATTCGATTCGATAAAATTATTTTCTTTTGTCCATCCTTGCGATCTGTAATCACACCAGTAATCAGGCGAAACGCGTGGTAGCACAAACACTGATGTAATGAAACTTAATAATAAAACCTTCATTAAATTTAGTAAATTGCACTACTTCACGAAAGCGTGGTGGAATTGACGATTATTTCATATTTCGAACACAGAAACAATTGTTTTTCGGATAGTTTCTGCAGTCTGAAAAGAAGAATAAGCTTTTCGACATAGTAAATGCTACGATCTTTGCTATCAAATTATGCTCGGGCATTGCACGAAATTCATAACGTGAAAAGATTCGTTCATCGGTGAAAATTGTTTATAGCCAATTTAAACCTATTTAGTGTTTTTAGCGATAATAATTAATTGTTATAATGAAATACGGTTTGTTTGCCTCTTTCATTTACTTCGCTATAGTACCGACAATTACACCGTTGAATGATTTTGGCAATGGGAGAAACATTAAATTGTATCAAAAATAAATTAGGTTGTGCAAAAGTGAGAATACCTGTGGTAATAATAAGGCTACACCCAGGGGAGGGACGAGATAAACTAAAGCGTATACGCGTCACGTATTACCCGTGCGGCCGCGCATCTTTTCCGATAATGTGAGGTGCTCCGAAAGTGGGTCTCGTGTACGTTATTGTGAGAAAACAGTTATAATATCGGTAACTATTAACCATCCATTTTAAATACAGGATATGTTATATTAACAAGAATAGATTCTTCCTTATCTGATCTATTATTTTATAGCTAAATGGCTTCAAGAGTAGGAAATGTTCCTGTTTTGTGATAGGCGTGCCGCGAATATTTAAATAGCTCAATAGTGTGCCGCGACATAAAAAAAGGTTGAGAAGCACTGCCTCAGAAAATAATACGTCGAACTTGATCATTTACTTTTTCAGGTTTTTTGGTATTGTTGGACTAAATTATGTTCACTATGTTCAAAATACAATAAATATAATTTTCAGCGATCTTCTCGACACGTTTATCAGAAGAACAGGAACTTCGATCTGGATAGGACTTGACGACCTTGAGAACCAAAACAACTGGAAATGGTCGGACGGAGTTTCATCTACTTCTTCTAATACACCGTGGAGTGGAGGAGAACCAAATGGTCCAAATGAAAGATGTGCTTGCATGTACAATGCTCTACAATATGAGCTGATAGATACCTTTTGTTACATAAAAAGATTCTACCTTTGTGAAAAGTAATTTTTCTTTCTTACTTTCAAAGAACTGCAACAATAATCGCGCGCGCGGCGGTGTGGCTCAACGGGCTAAGCGTTAGGAATACGCTCGCCACCGCACCTCTAATTACTCTGCGTGGGTTCGCAGGTTCGAATCCCATGCAGGGATGGTTATGTGCGAGAGGATTGCTGGACTCCTCGCCGTCGTTGGGTGGTTCACGTAACCGCTGGTCGGTTACGGCTTCCTCCACCACCAAGTCCATGCTTCCGAAAACAAACAATACAGTAAAAACTAATCCCATACCCGACTTGGAATGGTAACCGGACGAGAGGCCGTGGTTCGCCATATGGATAAGCCGTCTTATCGGCTTTCCTCTCCCCCGGGATAAATATGTAAATCCTATCCCCTATCCTATAATCAGGAAATTATACTCTGTAGCCTATCCACAACCCAGGCTTCAAGTTCAAGCCCTCAATATCAATACGGGCCTAATTCTTTTTTAATTTTTTTTAAATGCATATTCAGAATTAAACTGGTTCAAAAAATCATTTCGAAAATTTATTCCTATTTTTATTCATGAGTTATTCTTGTTCCAATTTTTCTCGTTTGAAATGTTAAATATTTAAATATACCGTTATTTAATTGAATTTGTCTAAATTTGAAAAACTAAATAAAACTTCTTGTTATTATATGAACAATAGCCTAGCTGTTGGACTAATTGATGTAAATGAACTATAATCTATTCATAGTTTTTGGTTGTTTATTCATAATGAGTTTTGAGCCTCTGGCTCAGTAACTAAGTTACTCAGTAACTATTATATCGAACTGGCCCCCTCAGAAAAGTAATTGCCCGCCCATATAAAAGATAAAACAAATATTACAAATATTAAATAATAGCCATATTACTTTATCCGAGCAACAGCGAATTCAAGAATTATAAATTATTTTTTATTATTTAAACACGATTTTTAATTGTAGATCTGTTTATTTTGGAATGGAATGATATTTATATTTATCAGTAATGCTAGTCAGAATGTAATAAATGGGAAACACTTATACCAGGACATTTAGTTTCGTGAATTCGTGAAGATAACTTTGGATTGAGCAACAGTGGATTTGGTTTGAACAACACTAAATTTGATAATAAATTTTTTCTTAAACAATGCGGGTGTAAATATTTTAATATCGAATTCTTAAATTATAGTATTTTTAACATTCGTGCACCAGCATTGCATATATACAATCATATCATTGACGTCAAGCAGTGACATGTTAAATTGTTTGTAAGCTGTAGTGCGGATTACAACAATTGTTTCTATGCTAATATTATTTTTAGAGTAACAGTTAGGTTCCATCTTAGCTTTCTAAGGCTAGGCTTTGCTCTGTCCCGACTTTTATTACCATGGAATCGCCGTACAAGTTTTTGACAACCTATTTACTAACTAACAAAAAAGGCGTGGGAGAAGCTCACGTGAGATCAACCACTAGTCGACAGAAATTTATCCCCATTCATCATCATCATCATCAAATCCGGAGTGTGGCCCGGACCAATTTGACTACATCCTTCCACAGCTCTCTATTGTGCACAGGGGCGGATTATGCCCCTTTGGTTCCCTAAGCACTCAAGACTTCGGTGCCCCCTTATGTGTAATTTGAATTATAAAAACAATAAACCACATAAGTGTATTATCCATTAAAAATAATCACAACCAACAGTAAATAAAACAATTTTTAGGTTTTTCAACTGGTATATATATCGGCCGTTTAATGCCGATATTATATATCGGCAAACACGCAATATCGGGCCGATATATTGATTGAGCTTTATTCATGGCAGCGTGTGACGATGACGATTCATGCGTCTAGTCTCAACGTGAATCGAAATACCAAAAGATTCAAGGAACAACTGTAGTTTGAAATTTTTACCGATACACAGTAGTCCAGTTTTCTTCAACCTTTTTTATCGTGATGTACCTTTTACAATTTTTCAATAACTTTGTATACCTTACAAATACCAATGTCTATTTAAGGCCTAAATGAACATTAAATTTTAAACACATATTGTACTGCAATAGCATCATGCAATCTAATATGCTAGTGTCCGCAAGTTATAAGTTTGACTGACGGTCATAGCGTCAACGGGAATAATGTTCAGCGTAAGTCAAACGAAGTGCATGACAGACAATATCACCAACCCAGACATGTATGTGATCACATTATCTATATAATTTGTGCTGTAACAATGTGCTCACGTCAGTTCTTTGCGTGAATGACATTTTATATTTTATGTGTGCCGCGTTTGCATTGTTGTCTTCACTTGAATATTTTTTTATAATTTATTATATTAGGGTTTAGATTCCCTGACTTAGGCTGTACACCCTTCGTATACCCTTTATCAGTTGTATACCCAATTTATAGTCCGGTATACACTTGGGTACACCCCGTACACCCCGTTGAAGAGCACTGCAGTAGTCTACCTAAGGGTGGTTCAAGGTTGCTAGGTTGAAGGACCGCAAAAATTTTTGTGGAGGTCGGAGAAAACCCAAAAGGGATCGAAATATCGTAAGTTTACTTACTTTAAATTTAATAAAAAAACGAGAGTTCGTCGTTCTAATCAGACCAATAATATGTTGCATAGATGACGTTTCTTTTAAAGAAGATATATGAAGCCTTCAGTTATTTTAAAATAAATTCCCGGGAATTACCGTTGTATTTCCCGCATCTCGCGTTTGGGTATGTCATGGCGCTTAAAAATATATTCTTTCGTGCCAGATATTACTTGAAAGCAAACCTGACACTGTGGTTTACCGTTGTGGTGGGCAAGGAATTACGTTTCCTCCTTGTCACCTTTCTTTTGACACTCATTTTATTACGAATTGTCATATTTGAGTAATTTGAAAACTTGCATCGTGAGCAGGCTTAGTGCCATCGTCAAATAACAACCAAGTCCGTTGTTAAGAGAGTATATATTTTCAGTTTTAGACACCTGGGACATGGCATCTTTAATCATGGAAAAAGCTCGCGAAACAGCATTAAATGGTAAAATATTATAATATTTTTAAATATTTACAGACTTGTAATAAATAAATAATTAAAAATGATAATTTCATGAATACAAAAGAGTCGATGTAAGTGATAAATTAGAAATACATACATAACTCTGCTAAATACAACGTTAACGAGTAAGAATTCTGTAAACTATTATTCTTTAGTTCCAAATGATTCTCAATGTCAAACAACATGTCGACCAGGCAAGAAAGGCCCAGAAGGTTCAAAAGGTGATATCGGATCACCAGGACAAAATGGCGCCACGGGACGTCAGGGAGCTAAAGGAGAAGGTGGAACACCATGTAATTGCTCACGATATGATGAGTTGGCACACAAAGTTCAAATTCTCGAAGAAGAAAAAGGTTATTACCACAAATCCATACCCTCGTTATACTTTATTACATTGTTTTATTCAAGAACTTTACGTTAATTGGTGAAAGGTTACTATCTCAAAATCATATCCTATACATTATTGCATTATTTTATTTAAATACTTCACGTCAATTGATTGTGTCGCAAGTGTTGCATTTATGGCTAAAATGAGAATTTGCAAATCGCTCTCTGGATCTAAACGTCAATATTGAGTTTTGGCTTTGTAGATAAATCCATACTTTAAGCAATTATAAAGTTTTTTTTATATGGTTCTATATTTGTTTTTATTTTATTTTTAGCTCGAGAATTACAACCCGTAGCAGATGGTTGGCATCGTGTTCCCAGTTACCCATATTGGTACAAATTGGTCGAAGTACCGTCAGACTATCAAACTGCCAGGAAAAACTGCGAAATCATGGGAGGCCGATTAGCAGCAACGGGTATACGCAACCCAACTATTCGCAGGTAATTCAACATTGTATATTATAATGATAATATTAGTATTGCCATATAGACATTTGACTCAACAATATTTAAACTTCACCAGTAATCCAAAAACACTTTCACGATCTCAATTTTATTTTGAGAAAGCTTTATGATGCGTCATTGTCGAACCCTCTCATATGTTTTCTTTGTATAGGGTGTGAGTGAGTTATGTAGTTTTAGACTTATTTTGTCACTAGAACGGGGTGCATTTCGAGTGAACTTTTGGCACGATTAGGGACGAAAGAATTGGAAAAAGACAGTATGCGTCTTCCGACTGATTCAACCTTCTATTGAGGAAAAATTCAAATCGATTGATCTAGAAGTTGCGGGAAAGCGATTAGATGGGTTTTAAAATACAACATATAAAACTGAATTTTGGAGTTTGACCTACCTTAAGTTATTCTTCAAAAATAAATATTGAACAGCTCAAGTCTTTTACTTTCGTTTCGCATTTCGAATAAGAAAAGGAATGTTGGGAATTCAATGCCTTATTAAATAATACATCGAACTTCATTATTTCCTTTCTTAAATTATTTGATATTGTTGGACTAATTTATGTTCACCATGTTTAAAATATAATAAATATCATTTTCAGCGATCTTGTCGTCAATTTTAATAGAAAAACAAAAACTTCGATCTGGATAGGACTTGACGATCTTGAGAAACAATATAACTGGAAATGGTCGGACGGAGTTTCATCAACTTCTTCTAATACACCATGGAGCAGAGGTGAACCAAATCGTCGGGATGAAAGATGCGCTTGCATGCGCGAGCCTCTACAATATAAGTTGATAGACACCCTTTGTTCCATAAAGATATTATACGTCTGTGAAAAGTAATCATTTCCTTCTTACTTCTAAAGAATTGCAACAATAATCAGAAAACTATAGTTTGTATAGCTTAACTACAACTCAGGCTAAAGTGCAAACCCTCAATATCCATCCATACGGGATTGTTTTTTCTTCAAAATGCATGTTCCAAAATTTAACCGGTTCAAAGATTCTTTCCTAAAATTTTTCCTATCATGAAATCCTATCATTGTTTTACCCCAATAATGCCTGTAAAGAACAAATATAGCTATATTACTTTATCCGAGCAACAGTGAATCTAAGAATTATATATTTTCTTTATTATATATTTGAAAATGATT